GTTCCAATGATCATTAGCAAACAGCATCACAACTATAGCTTTCGACCTGAGGTTAGAAGCATAGTTTCTTGTTAGTATGATGTGGACTCGCATAGATCCTGCTCTTGAGCAAAATAAGCAAGCAACATGCAGTACATTCTGTATCTTTGATTCCAAATATATACAAATTCCATTTTACATCTTTTAGTTTCTCAAGAGAATTAAAGCGCTGTTTTTGAAGAGTGCGCATCTGCTCAAGTAGTGTCGGACGTCCCGGTGTGACATATCTCCAATGATGCATCGTACTATATTGATTAAGCAGAGAGTTATGCCATTGTTTTACTCACGAGAAAGCTGCCTTATTGAGTCCGGCCTTATTTTGTTCAATACATTGTGGCCTAGATTTGAAATGAGCCATTATTTGTTTAATTAAGGTCATCTCAAGGTTGCCTCATTGAAATTGCATGTTCAAACCTGCTGTACAACTTTAAATTTTGATTATTTTTTTTTCCATTAGTTTCCACCTATGGTTTGAGTACATAAGTAAAAACAATTAGATTGGTGTGTGTGTGGTCTGAAACGGAGCATAATGGATATGATTAATAATAATATAATACAGAATTGGAATAAACCCACTAACTAAATGGATACACATGGAAACCCTCATTGGAGCCATGACCCAACACAATGAGCCTTGGTGCTCATGTTGGAAAAAAGTTTGAATCTGTCTCATGTCATGTCTTAATATCATTCTAACCATTTATCCCTATCATCTTATCACTGTATCAAGATGCGCATGGTCTTATTACTTCATAAAATGGATTTTATGTGTGGGTGACCCGAGGTCTGCTCGGGTCATTTCCTAATCTATAAGAATACATTTGACACCTCAGCAGCAAAGATTGATTCTAAATGTGTTTGAGAGGAAGTATCCTTGCATAACCTGCCAATGTATAACCTGTTGGCCTGGCTCCTGAAATAGTGTTTGTTTTTGTTTAAGTGATTTCTGAAATACCAAGGAAGGAAAAGTTGGTTTCATTGGCATTTAACTGTTTTGACCTTTTTGTCAAGAGCCACAAGATATTTCATTAATGAGTAAAGCATGTTTTCTCCTGACAATGACATGAAAAGATGTGAAAAATCATTCTGAACATCAGGAAATTGAGAGCGAGTCATACCAAATGTCAGCTCTCTGTCACCTTCTCAATCCCTTAGGAATAAATGCTTGAAGAAAAAAAGACCATCCCCCATGCAACGCAAACATTTTTATCGAGCATTGGCAGTTTTTGTGTTCCTGTTGTCATATCCGTGTCTATGTGTACTGGTGATCTCATTGGTTGAGACTACATGATTATGCACAAAAACAACCTATTTGGCCATTTATGTTCACAAGGACATTTTAGGAACCGTGACACTGTTCTTCTTTAATATTCCTAAATAAGGTCTCTGAACAGGATAAATTATCTGAACAGATTGCCGATTAAGGCAGTTCACTTCATCAGTATTACACTCTTACTGAGATTGTTACAGTAGTGATGTATTATGTTCATTTTGCCAAGTGGCATCGTAATATTTCAAAGAGGTAAAGGCCACACCATTTTATATCCCGAGAGTCTTAATTAGGAACCCAGTGACCCTTTAATTTCTAGCAAAGTCAAAGTTAAGGCATTTCTGTTCTGATGCACTATCCAGTCCTTTGCTCTGTCCTGCTTAATTAGCCAAAAAGCTGCTCTTCTCCACATTAATAGAACATAATAGCTGCTCTTTTACATTTTTGTCTTTTACGTTCACTTTTAAATAAGATTAGCCACAACTAGTCCATATTAGAGCCTTACTGAGTCCAGCTTGTTTGATAGAATAAAGGACCTTGTTTTTTCTCTTTAATATACATCCTTTTTTTTCTTTTTCATATTGGCCACAAGATGGCAGTGTGACGCTTTGAAAAGCAGCACTCAAAGGCCTACTTTGGATTGAGCGATATCCAGGTTTTCTGCTTCTTGTGTGTAATAGTGGAGTTGCTCCGTTTAGTCAAATGTAAGGAAGGGTTTCTGTGGAGGCGTCTTTGAATCAGATCAAATCCTCTTGTCATCAGTCTTTAACAAACAGACTATGATGCACAGCTGGAAGTTTGGACTGAATTTAAGAAAGGCATTAGTCACTGCTTACTGCAAACTGGATACATTAAATATGCCATGACTAGTAAAACATTTTGATAGGATAGCATCTTTGTGAGTTTGATGGATATTTGTGGGATGCACATCCAGGGCACAAAGCTCCCATTCCACCACATCCCAAAGATGCTCTAATGAGTTGAGATCTGGTGACTGTGGGGGCCATTTTAGTACAGTGAACTCATTGTCATGTTCAAGAAACCAATTTGAAATGATTCAAGCTTTGTGACATGGTGCATTATCCTGCTGGAAGTAGCCCTCAGAGGATGGGTAATGGTGGCCATAAAGGGATGGACATGGTCAGAAACAATGCTCAGGTAGGCCGTGACATTTAAACGATGCCCAATTGGCACTAAGGGGCCTAAAGTGTGCCTTGAAAATAACCCCACATTACACCACCACCACCACCAGCCTGCACAGTGGTAACAGGGCATGATGGATCCATGTTCTCATTCTGTTTACACCAAATTCTGACTCTGAATGTCTCAACAGAAATTGAGACTCATCAGACCAGGCAACATTTTTTCCAGTCTTCAACTGTCCAATTTTGGTGAGCTCTTGCAAATTGTAGCCTGTTTTTCCTATTTGTAGTGGAGATGAGTGGGGGTCTTCTGCTGTTGTAGCCCATCCACCTCAAGGTTGTGCGTTTTGTGGCTTCACAAATGCTTTGCTGCATACCTCGGTTGTAACAAGTGGTTAATTAAGTCAAGTTTGCTCTTCTATCAGCTTGAATCAGTCGGCCCATTCTCTTCTAACCTCTAGCATCAACAAGGCATTTTCGCCCACAGGACTGCCGCATACTGGATGTTTTTCCCTTTTCACACCATTCTTTGTAAACCCTAGAAATGGTTGTGCGTGAAAATCCCAGTAACTGAGCAGATTATGAAATAGATATACTTATTAAATATATATATATATATATACAGACAGACGTGCTCACGTTTGTTGGACCCTTACAGATAATTGAAATAATGCTTCATTCCTCATGAAAATAAAAGCTATTTTATCATCTATACTTGCCGTGAACAGAGATTAATTATTGCCTACAAGGATAATCTAAAATGGCCTGGACACATTTGTTGGTGTTCCTTAGAAAAGATAACAAATAATTGGATTATAGTGATATTTCAAACTAATTTGTTTCTTTAATTAGTATCACACATGTCTCCAATCATTCATTCAGACTATATAAATGGAGAAAAGTAGTCACTGTGCTGTTTGGTATAATTGTGTGCACCACTGAACATGGACCAGAGAAAGCAAAGGAGAGGGAGTTGTCTGAGGAGATCAGAAAGAAAATAATGGACAAACATGGTAAAGGCTACAAAACAATCTCCAAACAGCTTGGTGTTCCTGTGACAACAGTTGCAAACATTATTAAGAAGTTTAAGGTCCGTGGAAATGTAGCCAACCTCCCTGGGCGCTGCCGTAACAGGAAAAATGACCCACGATTGAAAAGGATAGTGCAAATGGGAGAAAAAGAACCAAGGATAACTGCTAAAGAGATCCAAACTGAACTCCAAGGTCAAGATATGTCAGTTTTTGATCGCACCATCCATCGCTTTTCGAGTGAATGTGGACTCCATGGAAGAAGACCCAGGAGGAGGACTCCACTTTTGATAGAAAAACCTAAAAAAGCCAGACTGGAATTTTCTAAAATGCAAATTGACAAACCACAATCCTTCTGGGTGAATGTCCTTTGGACAGATGAGTCAAAACTGGAACTTTTTGGCAAGTCACATCAGATGAAAAAACGAACCTTTCAAAGAAAAGAACACCATACCCACAGTGAAGCATGGATGAGGCTGTTTGTGCTTTGGGGCTGCTTTGTTGCGTCTGGCACAGGGTGCCTTGTATTTGTGCAGGGCACAATGAAATCTCAAGATCAAAGCACTCTGGAGCGAAACGTACTACCCAGTGTCAGAAAGCTCTGTCTCTGTCACAGGTCATGGGTCCTCCAACAGGATAATGATCCAAAATGCACATCTAAAAGCACCCAAGTATGAATAAGGACAAAACATTGGACTATTCTGAAGTGGCCTTCTATGAGTCCTGATCTTAATCCTATCGAACATCTATGGAAAGAGCTGAAACTCTCAGTCTGGAGAAGGCACTCATCAAACCTGAGACCACTGGAGCACTTTGCTCAGGAAGAGTGGGCCCAAACTATCTGAACAGCTGCAGAAGTCTCATTGAGAGCTACAGAAAACATTGGAATGCAGTGATTGCCTCTAAAGATTGTGCAACAAAAATATTAGGGTCCTATCATTTTTGTCCATGACATTTGTATTTGTTTTTTTATTAACAATGTTATGTTGGAAAAAAAGTAAAGTCTGATTTCTATTAAATGTGGAATAAACAATAGAGGATGTCAATTACATTTGGCAGTTTCAAATTATTTAAAAGAAAATTGTGCATTCTTTGTTTTCTGTGGAGGGGTACCAACAAATTTGAGGACGTCTGTGCATGCATATGTACGTACATGCATACATACATTATTTTTAAACTCTTATTGCAAATTAAAAAAAGAAAAATATTAACCGATTGAAATTGATAAAATATTAAAATTATCAAAAAATTTTATATTAAAAATTATATTAAAATTATATATTAATATTAAAATTATATAAAATTTTATTACATAAAATGAAATATATATTTTAATATGTTATAAATGTATTTCAATCAGTTTAGAAAAATGTTTTTAAAAATAACAATGTATTCCAAATATATACAGTATGTACTATACTCTGTGTAATTAATTACACGTATGAATATATTTGTAACTACATACAATGTAAAATGGGACACTGGACGCTTGCAGCATTGTTTATTTTTCTTCTTTTCCAGGATGTTTTGAATAACCTTGGCTCATCTGAGTTGGATGAGGATGACCTGATGCTGGATCTTGACCTCTCTGATGACCAGCGAGCTCACCATGGTATGTTTTTACCAGACTCCAGTTGCTCTCTCCTTTTACTTCAGACTCTGCAACATGTATTATGACATTTAATTCTCATTCATATTCATTTTAATATGATAATAATATGTTAATATCATATTCATGTCTGTTAAATCTCTGAATGTCTTTGTTATAGAAATTACACATTCTTATAATAGCAACATTGCTTGAAGAAATGGTTTTGCCGTAGATAAAAAAAAAAGAAAAAAGATGAGACCTTATTCCCCCACCCCTCCCCGCGCCCTCAATTTTAGCCAAATAATTCAGATTTTAATATCTTGTAAAATATTACACCATTAAGTTATGCATGCATGCAGTTGTGGATTAGTCATGAAGTCATCTTAATTTTCCAAAATGTTCTGATAGTTTTCTGGAGGACTTACATCAGCACATATGACTCTACACGTTAACATGCACCACAGGCACAGCCTCTAGGCACATAAACTCTGCGGATGTCATTGCTGATATTTGCTAAGGCATTTGTTTTTTAAAGAGAATTGACTATCTCAGCGCTTGTGCATAAAGTTATTTTGGCATGAATAGTGGTTCTCATCTGGTTTTGCTTCAGGACCCAGATTTACACATTCGACAAGTGGCAACCCAAAAAAGTACTAAATTGTGTTTGTATAAACAAAATGAACCCTTTATTTCAAGGAAATAAAGAAAGTTGAATCTTGTTATTATACAGAAGCTTTTTTCTCCTTGATTTGCTATTACAGCCTCACAGGAAGATTCCAGTCAATCCCTTGCATCATGCCTCAACCTGCTGCCCTCACCCCTGGAGGCCTCCATCGACCGGACCCCTGGAAGAGAGCCCAGGGAGCCCCCTCTCAGGTACGGTTTCCTTACTGGAGCTTCACTGCGAACCTTTCAATTTCACAGACACACTGTGAACATGAATGTTTTGATGGGGGACAATGTAACATGCCCTTTTAATGACTTCAACCACACAGTGATCGTCCAATTGCTTCATAAACGGAATAGAATTGCAGAGCTCAACCATAAAGATTTTTTTTTCTTCTGCTGGCCCAGTCAGATTTGTAGTTCAGATTATTACTTACCTGTCAAAGTCTTTTAATCTCTCCAAGGCTGCATTAATGCGTTTTTTTTTAGCAGCCATTACTCCAGTCTTCAGTGTTCCTTTAACCCTCTGAGGTTTAAGGTGTTTTGGGGGTCCTTGATGTTTTGACATGCCCTGACATTTGTGCTTTTTTCAGTTGCTTATTAACATATTAAATGGCACAGCTGAAATTACATGCAATTTAGCAAAAACTGAGCTACCATAATATGTGAGCAACATGTATGTACATGTTTGTATTTTTGAGAGAATATTGTTTATGCATGGTTATTGAAAAAGCTAAAAATTAATGGGTTGACATGAGCTGCATCTCATAAAATGTAAAAAATGTAAACGTCTGGGAGAATTAGTAGAGCAGACATATAGATCTGAATAAGAGTGACGATGCAAAAAAAGAGCTGTATTCGTTTTTCTGTGCGCACACACCCGACCTGAGCAGCCATGCACATTGACACACAGCACACGAGGACTGAACTGAGCTCTCTTTCGTGTCTGAATGGACAAATACACAACATTGTCGAAATGTTGGTTTTGGAGTGGAATGCATCAATGGAATAAGGAACATGTCTTCAGGGTGACTAAAGGTCAAAATGATGTGCTAAATGAATACAAAAAGAAAAAGGGATGAATTAAACAACCTAGTCAAACAAGTTCACCTAAAGAAAGTTGCAGGATCTGAGCTCACAACCACGATCACAACTAGAAATGAGCTCTCCTTCGAGTGCCAGCTGCATTCTTATAAAGACCACGCCTCGACTGAACAGCCAATGATGGTTGTGCACCCCTTCATCTGACAACCTATCAGAAGTCAAAGATGGAACAAGAAAGAAAAGGGAGAGAGAGAAAACACAGCTCAACAACACAAATACAAGTAACGCAGGTCATAACTGGTTTAGAGCATGGAGCAGATATCTATTTCTTTTGATAAATGTAATCTTTCTTCCTGAAAAAAAATAAAACAAAAATTATATTATGTATGTGCTAGTTAACAAACTTCATTGCTTTTTTTTTCTTATTTAGTGTTATTTACATTTTATAAGATATTGAATATTAAACAAATATTTAGTATTTAACAATTTAATTAAATTGTAGTAAGCTACATAGCAGTAAGCTGAAAATGATATGCACCAGCGCAAAAGGGCAAGTGACGGATCCGAATATCTTTCGGATCTTCTAATATTCTTTGGCTTGAACTGTTGGGATGTTCTTATTGTTAATCCCTCAAATTAGTAGAAGACTTGATGTGGTCATAAAATAACAGAAAACAATTACTCAGCACTGCAGTGTAGAGACATTATTAAATTCATATTTTCTAAGTCAGCTCTTTTATAGAAAACATTCAGTACTTTTTCTATTTAGCCTGTACAGGGAATCGTTAAACTAAAAATGATCATGTCATTCTTTACTTTTTCCAAACCTCTGACTGTTTCTTCTGTGAAACACAAAAATGAAATGTTGAAACATGATTAAAATGTTTTAGTGTTTTTACTAAAACACTTTCAAAATATATTTTCTGTTTGACAGGAGAAAGTGTCAAAGTTGCTGACTTAAATTAAGTACAATCAAATTGATGATCTTGCATACCATTAAAAGCTGAAAATGGCTAAACTTGTGTTAAAGCAATGTAAAAAAATATGCTGCTGTCAACTTATTGATCATATAATTTTAGTGTAGAGGTCATCTGTGCTTCTATTTATTAGAAATTTTACAGATATATGTAAGGAAATGCAAAAATGTTTATAAATAACTGGCATTTCACCGAAAAGTTGAAACCGAAGAGGAAGCCAGAAATCTTGTCCCTGAACGTGTGAACAGAAACTTGAAAGTTTACAGTATAATCGGAATCTGACATCTTTAGCCATAATGTAAATTGTAATGGATGATGTATTGATGAAAATAAGTTTTCATTTATAGTTGTGATTTGCACCCTTTCTGTATGCGTACTATTAGTCTATTGTGCAATTCTGAGTATTTTGAGTGATTTTTAGAGCATCACTACTGATTTGAGGGATGTTAAACAGAAGCTCAGCTTTAGTCAGGTTTGATGCATTTTGATCAAATTAATTCAGAGTACCAAGAGAACTACAGCGATGGCTAGCTAGCATGCAAAGTGTTGTGGCAAACACAAGAAATAAAATCATTTTCACATTCATACAGTTAGGTTCTCAGTGGATGTTAGTCCTACTTCCTCCACTGTTTTGCATCTTGTTCCCTAAACTATCAAACTTTCTCTGATCCATTGACAAGGGCATTGACTGCACCGACAGTTTGTTTTGATTTGATAACATTCTCAAACTCTGTCTACTTTGACTGCTGTCGTTATTCACGAGGATGAAACTGCCAGAGTCATTTCAAAACTGGATAAATCCCATGTGGACCCAGAGCAAATTATATTAGCATGGAAATTAGCCTAGAAAATTGAATACATTTCCTGACCTTATAATTATTTGTACAGTTTTTAGAGCATGCCCCAAAATGGAGTTTTTGAAATTATTACATACCCGAACCACTACATGCCAACTACTTGTAATAAGTTCTGTATTTGTTTTCTAAGTAAGTAGATTTATTTTTTTTAAATTCCACACCACATTGCCAAATATTACCCAATATTGCTGAAAGGTTACGAGAAGTACTTTTACAGACCTTCACTATCATATGACGTTTTATAGTGTGTTTGAGCTACTGTATGCCTCATAAAAGGCATGCTGCTTCTAGAAAACGTATTTTCGCTTTGTCAGCAGGTGGTGATTGAATGACCTTGTCTTGATATCTTTGACACAGTTTTGAATGAGATTTCTTACTGAGTAGCCCTGCAAGCCAGGTCTATTTTGGTTTGTTACGTCTGGAAGTTCTGTATTTTCCGATGGCTCATGTTAAAGATCTCACTATTTGTGCTATGATTGTCCAACTTTGTTTTTCCTTTTCATCGTCAGCAAGGCTGTTTTTTTTATGCTGTGCTAATTTCATTCGTTCTTATTTGTGACTTGACATGGTATATTAACAGCATTTAAATGATTTTTTTCAACCAAAAAAAAAAAAAATATATATATATATATGTATAATACTTACCCTAATACTTACCCTCATGCCGTTTTAAATGCCCCCCCCCATAAACAAGTTCATAGTGTTCAAATGATAAAAGTAGTCTCTATGACTTTATACACAATATTTTGAGTTTTCTAAAGCTGTATTATAACCTAAATTTGAGTTTCTCTCACAAAGTTATTTACTGGAAAACATCCCCACAACTTTGTATTGTGTTTGGAATGAGATGTGAGACGGCTTGAAATTGAGACTTTTTGAAAGAAATTAATTCTTCAAGCAAGGATATACTCCATTGATCAAAAGGGAATATTCTTTTTTTAATTTATGAATGTCTTGTTTTTCAAATAAATGCATTTTTTTTATGTTCTCTCATGAAAGAATCCTGAAAATATTTCACCACATGGTTTCCACAAAAATATTATGCAGCACAACTGTTTGCAACATTCATAATAATAATGTTTCATGAGCACCAAATTAGCATAATGAAATCTTTAGGATCATGTGACACTGAAGACCATGTTAATGATGCTGAAAAATTAGCTTTGTTACAGGATCAAAACATTTTAAATATACTACAAATAATATAAATGAATATATAGCCTCTGCATTTATTTGATCAAACATTCAGTAATCAAAATATTATTAAAAAAATTCTCTATATATTTATAAACTACAAATAAAATATAATACAAATATACTACAAATATATATATATATATATATATATATATATATATATATATAATTTGTAGTACATCTGTATTATATTTTATTTGTAGTAAATATATATATATATATATAATTGTTTTTTTAAATACTATTTCAATTCAAGATGCTGATTCTTGATTGATTCTTGATATATAATTATATAATTGTTTTTTTTTAAATACTATTTAAATTACTGAATGTTTGATCAAATAAATACAGAGGCTTCTTTCAAAAACAAAACAAAAAAATCCTAAACTTTTAAATAGTAGTGCATTTGGATTTCATATTGGGGTATGACATCTGAATATCATCTGTTATTACTTGTGTGAATAATAACTCTTTACAAACATCTGTTCCTGACACAAAGCTATGATATGGCTTCTGAAGAATATAGAGCAGTCATGTTTTGCTTTTTTTTATTTACTGAGCTCTGCGAGCCATAATCGCCATGAACTATTGTTGTATGGAAAAATAATGTATATTATAAAATCAGCATATGCTTTGGAACAACATGAGTGTGAGCAAATAATCTCAAAAATTTCATTTTTGGGTGAACAAATTATTATTTTTTTCTCTCTTGAGCTTTGCAATAATTCACCCAGCCTTGAAAATAATGAAACTCAAAAGAAGTAAAGTAGTTGGCTTTTCCTCGTATTTGTCAAATTCATCATTCAGGGTTCTTGGAAAGATGCATTGGATTGCAGTATAGTGTCATTATGGTGGGGAGATGTCAGCTAGTATAGATGTCTTTAATGGACTGGGAGGCCTGTTTTCTGCTCTGAGTTAGCTCAGCTAGATTTGAGGATGCTCTGTTTGATGGGCTATAATCCTACACCCTGACTAAGTGACAAGATATATTATCCCAAGGCGAAATCTGGGCTGTTGGTGTGGAAAACGCATGAACCGTCAGCTAGACTAATGCACGGCAGCTCGTGTTATGTTTTTCTCGCTCAGTGACGTGGCGCTAGCCAATTTTACAGCTCTGAATAGAGGCAGAAGGAAG